GGGGGGGAGGTAATCGCCACGTCCCCCCCTCAAATCCGCAACTGCTTAAGAATTAGTTCTATTGATACATAATAAATTAATAACAATATCCTTAGACATTAAAAATAGTCTGATTATCATTATTATTAGGTTATTTATATAGGATTATTAATCAGAAAATATAAATTAACAATATCCCATAAAATAACGAAATAAGTAAAACATTTTTTGTTTTTTAATTATGTATAAAAATAAATATTATTCAAATTACTCAATAACAATTGTTCATAAATTTTAAAATCCTAAATTTACATAAAATTAATAGATTATTGAGGAAAATTAGAAATGAAAGATTTTAGATAGCGATATTCTATTTATGATATTTACYTATATAATTATATTATAATTGTATGAACATATAAAAAATCTTAAAATGTTTTTTTCTCCCTAATAAAGAAAAAGTGACATAATTAAAACCCAAAAATTGCTTAACTTACGTTTTCTATGAATGTATTGTGTTAATTTACTATGACAAACTTAATTATCTTTATATAGTAAATACTATAAGTTTTTACATAGAAAACAGACACTATACAAGTTAATTATAAGATAATGAATATAATACAAACTAACCAATATAATATATAAAAATACTCACAATAATAGATGATTTTTCAAGACTTTGATAACATTACCTACTTGTTAGTTATATATTATATGTGTTTAAATAAAATTGGCTATTATCAAAATGTTTATTCTCATAAATAAATAATTAAATTTATTATAAGTGTACCTAAACCAATTTATTTAATAATATGCCGATTTAACATAAGCATTATTTTAATTTTAATTATGTTTTATATCAAATTTAATTTTAATACCTATTTGACTCTTAAAATGATTATTTATTACTTTATTAGGTACTTAATTTGTTATTTTTAGAAATTTAAATCTGATAAGTAGAAATTAAAATATAATACATTATCAATATACTTAATTAAAAATAAGAATTGTTTTAGATTGTAAAATTAGTAATTCTATACTATAAATGTATTTTACCATTTAATGCTATTATTATGGGCAAATATATATGAATATGATATTTGCAATTAACTAAAAGTATTGATGGACACATTTTAATTTCTACTTATCAATATACTTAATTAAAAATAAGAATTGTTTTAGATTGTAAAATTAGTAATTCTATACTATAAATGTATTTTACCATTTAATGCTATTATTATGGGCAAATATATATGAATATGATATTTGCAATTAACTAAAAGTATTGATGGACACATTTTAAAGAAAACATTATGTTTTATCTTAAAATTAGAATATTTAAATTATTAAATATATTACAAATATTATTTAAATAGTATATGACGATAAGCAATTTTTTTTAGCTCATAAAATGTTTGGTAAAAAAATTTACAAGAAAAAAGTTTGAACAATTTTGTTCGGAGTTCAGCCTGATCAATACTAATGGTAAAATATAAGTAATTCATTCTGTATAATATATGTACCTAAAAAAAATAATGCGTATTTAATAAAATGTTTGGAGACTAACCAAATTATACAAAAAATAATAAGTATTTAAATTTTAGCATTCATTTTTAAAAAGTTAATACTAGTAAAAAATAATTACTATAATGATAAATTTAATAAAAAAATTCTTGAAATTGGGAAGTTTTGTGGATATGAGCGTATTTAACATTTCTATTTTACAATTATAAAACACAAAATAATAATAATAAATTAACTGGAAAGTCATGCAATCATAAGGTTTTAGTTTACAAATGTGCCTTTATTTATTTATTTATATATTSAAAAATGTTTTTATATGGTAATTATATTATTTGACATAAGTTATAATTAGAGTACTGTAGGTACATATTATATTCTGAGCTATTTTATTTATGTATATATTGAACATGAAACATTTTAAATTAAATACAATAATAATTGTATTAAATAAGATATTAGTTGAATTTATTGAAATCATTGACAAAAAATATTTATAATTTAAAGTTACGTTACTGTACATCAGTGTTTCCCAACCTTTTTCCCTACAGCACACTAGTCCCAACTCATATTTGGCCATAGCACACTTGACACTGACATACATGTTTAATATATATATATATATAATATATATTTTTAATATTAGTGCATTAGGAGATTTTCATCATATTAATTATAAATATAATAAAAAGTTGCATATCAGTAAATTACTAGCAAATTATTTAAAATAGTGAATTTATTTACTATCAAGATTAGAAAAAATTATATAAATTCAAATTTTAATTAAAATGTATGAAATTTATTGATATGGAAAAACAGAGACATTACATCATGATTATGTTAGATATACAAATTTAATCATAGTGAGACATTTGGGACTGGGTTTCCTTAATAATATGTTTYTAAAGTAGTCGAATAATTGACAAGCACACCCTCATATCAGAGTAAGAGAATCRTTAAAAATATTTTAACCTATTATTGAAATTATAAGTAAGGGTATTAATAATTAAGATAATTTTCGGCATACMTATCGAGGCTTCATGGTACACCAGTTGGGGAATGCTGATAAACATAGTATACACAATACAAAAAAGAAAAGACCTTTAACCAGAAATAAGAGTAATAGTAATAAAATATTGTTTGTACATAAATAATTACTAGGTACACCGCTAAGGTTAGGTTACGGGAAATTATCAGGTTATAAGTTACTACGTAGGGATATTTTTTATTATTTTGTTATATCGCGTATTTAATTTTACTTGTGTCCTAATTATTATAATTTATATTTATAGTACCTGTAATTTTGGGCCATCGCCCCTTGTATATGTTAATTATGTTAAATTACTGTATTATTATTGTATGCTATACTAAATAAGGAATTTTTATTCCGTGAATTAATAAACAAATAACAACTTTATTTTAGAGAGAAAACTAACATTGCTATAAACACACATTATTGTTTTCTGTGCAATCATTTAAACATATGTATGATGTACTCAAGATCATGCTTTTAAATTTAAACTGTTTTAAAATATTGTTTGAATACACTTATAAACATCATATTAATATTAAAATTTAATAATGACCAGATTGGACTTTAGTTATACTTCCCCTGTAGAAAATACAACTTCATATATCTTCTGATATATCCTAATAGGTTATATTTATATTTTTATTGAATATTGGAAAGAACAATATTAACAGCTCAAATACATCAATTGTTTAGTTAAAATTGTAGAATAATAGGATGTCTATACTTACGGTAGATGCTAATATGTCATGAGGACAGCAATACAATAAGAAACTTTTACAGACTTTTGGATCATTGAACTGCACTTGGTATCTACTTGTTTCCCCTATAAGTATTAATAAAGAATATAATAAAAAGAAGAATTCGAATGGTTTGACGTTTTGAAGTTACCGTTTCTGCCAGTGCCCATGAGCTGGTCCAACATGGCTCTCATTTGGTCGTGAGCAGACATAGTTGACGGGACGCCGTATTAGAGGTTTAGTTTAGTATTTTAAATTGACAAAAAATAATTAACACTTAACAGATATGTATCGGATATAGACTTGGTAGGTGGATTAAATTACAATTAAGTGAGAATTTTAAATTTGTAATTTATACTGACGAGTATAGATATTATAGAAACAAGAAACAACAATACTTGTACTTCGGAATTTAACGTGTTATTGTGTTAACAAACTCGAATTCGCAATTTTGTGGTGGTAAATAATCATCATTCATCTGAGAAAATTACACGAATGTTAAAATGTTTGACTTACAGTGTGACCAACGGATCGATAGCGTACTATGTACAATGTTGTGTAATGTTTACCAATACTAAAAAAGAGCGGGCGTTCAAAATATTTTAAAGGTTACGAGTGTTACGACTATTTATTGATTAAAGTTAATAATATCATCTAATCATTATATCAAYGKCTCAGAGGTATAAGAACAGTACAGATTCTGATAATTCGTTAAAATACAAGGTAAAAGAGAAAAAACTAACGAAACTAATAATAAAACGTCTAGGTGCTTATTATCCAATACAATTTTTGAATTATATATGTCAAAAAATCATAAAAAATATCAATATCTGACGAATTATAAAGAGTACGGCAAACAGTTTGGCTATACGTAGTAAGTAGAATGGATTTTTTTCAAAGTTTGATGATTTCTTGAATAAAAAGAGAGAACGGCTGATGCATCAATATTGTTATTTAATAATTTTTAAATAAAGGTAACAAAATTCAACTCTTCTTTCAGTTAGAGATTTAAATTATATGGGTTTGCACTGCAGTGAAATGAGCTCAMTTTTAAGAATTTGTTTTTTACTTAATTTAATCRATTAATATGGCCAAATGGGATATTTTATGCAGAGATCAAATGTAATATCATATTACCAAGGTAATATGATAAACTTTTTTACCAAAACGTTAAAATAAATTAAAAAATGAAATAATTGTAGTTCTGATCCCTGTGAGTCTTATTACAAACCAGAATTTCGATATCACCATTATTTCTRGAGATATTGCACTGGGTAAATCCTCACGGGACACCCTGTATATATTAAATATATGTATGTGAATTCTGTTATTATATATTATTTGTAATGTTACCATTGGGATACCATCTATTACATTAATAAAATAAATTAATAATATTATTAATACATAATATTATGTCTAACTAAGCTCAGAAGTCTTGTTTTTACAGGCAATTGTCCCGATACTCCCGAAGACCGATTACATGCTTTATTTTCTTGACAACAGTTTAGGAAAACAGCTATGATTGGTATTCGTGTAGCAGGTGATCGATTGCAATTTTTATTTTTTTAGGTACAGTAGGTCTAATCTAGGAATTATATTATCTTGTTGTGTTTATTATTTACTTAGCTACTTCTATACTGTTTAGCTTATTATTTATGGATGGGTGCTTATTGGTA